TATATCAGTTGTGCAATACGCATGGATCCTCTCCTATGTTGCCCCACTGTGCCGGCAATTTTATTCGATGCGTGAAATTCTTTTACTCGTGATATCGTGTACGAAGTAGAGTTTCCAATGGTGTTTAGTTCACATTTTTCTTTGCGGTAATTTACACACCGAGGTGTCGAATATGCTGCGGATGTCGTCTCTATTGTAGTCTTGGGAGTTATCAAATTTTCCTAGAACAAAATATTCTTTCGATATACAAAATACAAGCAAAAGAAGAGATTTAATTCTCCGTAAGCGGACATTTTTTCAAACTCTGTAGGTAAATTAGGTCGTTTGTGTCGAATTTTTTTTCTTCTGCTATTTCAAACTTGGGAAAAATTTGAAAAAACTCTAGAGTACTTATCGAAGTCTCTACTACGTTATGCAATTTTTCGTTAAGTCAAATGTTTCAATAAAAATACAAATTCGTTTGGAAGAAATACGGGAATAAAATTTCACTTGGGTCATCGGAGACCCAGATTACCTACCGATGGTTAAAGTGATAAGAATTGTCAGCTATGCATTCAATCGTTTATTCTAATTTGCGTTATTAGAAATTTCCTCTGGAATTTCTTTTTTTAGAAACGTTGGAATTCTTTTCTCCGATGTTAGGTATTTCCTCTGGAATTTCTTTTCCAAAAACTTCAAAATTTTCAAACTTGAAAGTTAATTTTTTCGCAACGAGAAAAACACGCCACTTTGATAAATGACGATTATTTGCTTTACCAGTTTTCGAGTGTTGAATGTTTCGCCACATCTGTAATCATATTAAGCGATTTAAAGCAAGACTCCGGGATGCCTTTTGAATAAAGTCGACGTTGCTGCGCCCAATCGGTTTAATCGAGTCAGGTCGTAGTTGGGTCATATTCATACAGAAAATATTCCTACGTCCTCTTAATCGACCATATTCTTTACCGCCCTTCTTTTCTAATAATTATCGCCGTTAAACGTTATTATTAGTAGACGATACTAGAATTGCGAACGATGATTCGAGACTGTCGACAAATTATCGAGCTGTACATCGATAGGTATATAACAGTGTATTATAATACACGTGTCTCTCGTGTCAGAGCAGTTTGATAAAAACGCATTATCTAGTGTGCAGGATTTTCTTGGAAAGCTTAAAATGGAACACCATGAATGAGTTAGTACTTTTCCGCGATTAAACGCGAGACGCGAAGTGTAATCATCGAAATTGGGACGAGTTCTTGCATGACAATATTGGGCGTAAAATTTTCCGTGAAATTTCGCAGTCTGTATAAATGCACGCTGGAGAAACGCGGCGAGGAACGAAATTTCAAACGTGATCCTTAACGTTCACGAAGAATCATTACTGTATTGATAAACATATATACGCTACCGTTCGAAAGTTTAATGGCATAGGTTAAAATTTAGTAAAACTGACAGTAACTGGAGAAAAAAAATGAATTAGGCGAGAACGATGAACTTCTTCTATTGAATTTGATAAACGAAATTGGAATTTCATCGCTATCGTTGAAACGAAATTAAAACTGTGATAATACAATTTGATAAAGTATAAAAGAACTGAAAATACCCAAGCCTGAATAAAAGCTTCAGAAATTTCTAAAATTAAAAGAACATTTTGAATAATAATAGATAAAATGAAAGCTAAAAAAATTGCACCAGTTAACACGTTCCGTGCCGGACCGATTTTCGGT